CCCCCCACACCAGAGTCCCAGCCCTGCCTGTCCCCTGCCAGGTTTCCCACAGACCCCCCTTCTGCCGCGCAGCCCCTCCACGGCAGCCACCCACCCACCCACTGCCGAGCCTGTCCCTGACTGACAGGCATGTGGAGCCACTGCTTATTCCTGAACCGGTGGAAATCGGTTGAGCTGTAACCACAGAAAGCTCTTTTCCAGACGCTGACCTAAACAGCAAGGCTGTAATGCAGTTTGATTCTGATTTTTCCTCCCAGTCTGGATTTGCCCACCAAATTAATCCATGAAAGTCAGGTGCACCCTAGGCCCAGACATGCCCTTTGCTTCTGATGGAAAAAGAAGAGTGGAAAAGCAGCATATATTTCGTATGCAAGAATAAATGAGAACGGATTTTAATTACTTCTAATTGAGTCTCCAGAATTCAGACAACTTCCAAATTAACACGAATTAACATAGTATACTTGATATCCCATAACATTTAATTAAACCTCTTAAAATAAGATCTGTAAAGCTTCCCTCCAAGCTTCACAGAGATGATCCCATCAGATGCTGCACCTTAAAGGTATTTAAATAAAATCCTTATACAAGCAGCAGTTGCAGAGCGTGCTGTGGGGAGGCGCACAAGCACGGCAGAGGTGATCTTCAGGTACCGCTATTAACAAACTGGGCTGATTAACCAGCCTGCGCGCATGGAGGACAACCAGAGAGCATCTCCTGCAGCACTGCCCAGGCGCTGGGGTGGTTCTGTGCGGCCATTAGCTGCTGCCGGCTCCCCCCACCCTTGCCGGGAGCCAGCGAGCACCGGTGCCGGTGCATCAGCGCTGCCTTTGTGGTGGGGTTCGGTAGAGGCTGCTGGGGGGATGCAGTGGGGCAAGGAGCTGCAGGGCAGGTGAACCCACTGTCATTCCTCTTGGGTCCCTGGGGCTCAGGCATGGGAGTATGGAGTGCCAGGGGGATGCCCTCACCACTGCCTGGAGACTGCCCAAAGTGCTGGCAAGTGACAGACAGGCCCAGTTTAGTTCGAGCCCAGTTTAGCTTGAGCTCAGGGTGCCCATGCACAGGTCTGCCAACCACAGGCACATGGCCAAGGGCTGCTGGCTGCATCCTGGGCATGGCATGAGCTCGCTGGGTGGGAGTACCCGGCATGTTGTCCAGGCATGGATATACATCTCCTCCGGTTCCTCATTTATTATATGACATTGCTTGAACACTCTCCTTCCTCGTGGCATAAGACAATTATGCAAGACCAACAAACAAGACACGGCTTTGGAAGTAAACGTCTGGTTGGGAGCCAGATGAATAACTGCTAAAAATTGGTATTTTTCTGCTTGTCGCCAATCACAGTTCACAGCCCTTATACTTTGCTACCTACAGCTCTCTGCTGGATCTACATTTCTTGCCCCTAACCTGCATCTAAGACAGAATCCAGCTGTGCAAAATCATATTTCACTTTATTTAGTGTCATGGAAACCTTTGCCTAGACAACAGAGGCACAATGCCAGCCTGGTGTGAGGAGCTCAGCTCCGGTGCAGACTCGAGCCGGGGGGAGAGTGCAGTGAGTCACCGCCTGCGGCCCCCGCGCCGCCCTCGGCACCTTGCTCAGCCCTTGGCCACGGCACGAGCCCCCGTGGCACTTGAGCCCTACCCGCGAGCCAGCCTGGCGGCTGCGCTTCAGGGACTACTGGCCAAAACAGGGGTGCCCCTGGCTGCAGGCGTCCATCCCCCTGGGGTCTGAGTTGTCACTTGGGGATGCTTGCGGTGCTTGCCCCACCCTTGCTCCAGGTCTCCCCCCATGTCTCCTCCTGGCCTCGGGGTTTGTGGGGTCCTGGCCCTCTGACGTGGGCTCCATCAGCGAGGCTGCCAGAGCCCAGGATGTAAGGGCAGGAAAAGAGAAACCTATAAATAACAGGTAAGGGAGGCAGCCAAGGGTTCTGGGAAAGGCCTGGTGTAGCATCCATAACAAATAAATTATAAAAACCTGATGAACTAATACACAGCCTCCCCTCCACTCTGACAGGCTGCTGACCTCCAGCTCTCAACTGCGGCAAAGTGCCAGGAGACAAAAATAGCAAAAAACACCAATTAAATATTAAAACTCACAAATGTAATGCAGAGCAGGAGAGGGGAAGGGGGCACGTGTCAGCTCCAAAGGCAGGGGTGAGCACTCGACCCAGCATGAACAGGTTTTCACCATCTGCAGGTAATAAGAACAATTTGTATTGGAGATTAAAGAAGAACTTTCAAGCTCATTTATAATGAAAACATTTGACGCTAATGACAGTGTTAAGGGTGCGATGGAAATCCACCTACTCTTGGGGTTTCTTGCACACTTACTCCTGACATTTGTCTGCTTTGCCATTCCTCTGCACCTGAATTTGCTCCTCAGATGCCGGAGGCAGCAGACAAGGAAGGGGGAGAGACACACCGCACCTCCTGCCCACCCATGGACCTCCTTCCCACCCACCGCACCTCCTTCCCACCCACCGCACCTCCTGCCCACCCACTGCACCTCCTTGCAGCCCTTCCCCTTCCTGCAGCTGGCTCAGCCTTGCTCAAGGAGCCATATGGGAAGGCGGCATCCCCCACGCGAGCACGGCCAAGCCGAGAGCGCACCGGCCGGCACAGCCCGGCACCGCTGCTGGCAGCAGCTGCAGACCTGCCGGGGGACAGTGTCAGTAGAGAATCCAGCTAACCCAAAGGCTCCTCATGGAAATGAGGTTTTAATTGGGCAAGAGGGAATCATCTTCCTCAAAGACAGAAAAGAAATCAGGGCCGTTAAAAAAGGGATCTAGCCAGGACACGTGCTTATTGAATGTGGACATCAAATCTGCTTTGAAGAAGGAACGGATGTGAAAGTTTTGCTCCCTGAAACACACAGAGCTGTAACACCACCTCTGCCTCCCGTGGAGCCTCCAGCAGCAACGCTCATGCGTGGCCCATGGCCGCCACACCGATGGCAGGAGGGAATGCCGCTCTGCCTGGCCGCACCAGAGCCCGGAGCCCTCCCTGGGTCTGCAGAGCGTGGGGCCGCCCTGCTCCAGCCAACAGCGCCGGCAGCCTCGGGGCCCAGGGACGCACCAGCAGCCAGGATCGGGCCCCACCAGGGCACCTGGGACAGCACCAGGGGAGCAGGCAGTGTGCCCACAAATGCATCCAGCTGGAGGGACTGTGGGGTCCAGCACCCCCCTGGGGATGTTCATCTTCCACGGGGGCTCTGCACCCCTCCCAATGCCCCCCATACCACCCGCTTAAAATTTAAACGAGAGGAAGAGACTAGGAAATGCTGCCCAGGAGTGAATGTCATGGGGTCCCATGAGACACTCGCCCATGTTTAATGCATAGAGAAAGCGCTGAAACACGATAAATGCATGGTTCGCGATGCTCTGTTTGCAGCTTTCACAGCACTGTGCACGGTTCTGCTCCCCAAAGCTGCTGCTTGACCCGACTTCAATGGATGGTTTTCAAAGTGATTTAAAAGGTGATTTTTAAACATCGCATGGTGACAAGAGAAGTACTTTATGAACAAAGGCTGCTGTGGGTCATGACAGAGTGCAATGAGAGAGCTTCCCTCCAGCCTCGCTCCATCCCCACTTGACTGAGGAAGTCTGTAGGGACATTTACAAACTTCACCGTAAATAATCTGGAGTTAGGAATGACCGTAGCTGCGTGGTTTTGCCATCAGACCAGCACTCCCCTGGGCTCCTGGGCTGGCTGGGCAGTGGGGGATGCCCCCGGCCGCACACCCCAGGGGAGGCTGGGACCCACCTGCTGGGGCTGGGGCTCTGCCTGCCTGGAGCTGCTCCGGAGCCCTGGCAGGACAGCATCCCCCGGGCAGGCAGCGCCGGCTCGCAGCTCGCCCCGGCGGGCTGGGGCTGGGGGCTGCATGCCACCTCCTTTCCAGCCTGGCTCTCCAGCCCCTGCAGCGGCCAGAGAGGTCAGGAAGGACAGACCGGGGCAGAAGGGTGGTTCTCCGTGTTATAAGGTAGGGAAGCACAATGCAAACAACAAGCAGATCAGTTTTGCTCAGCCTTTAAAGTGTTATCACACCTCAGGAATAAGCATAAAGGTCAAAATCATTAGTGTTTGAGTTCTGAATTAAATCCATTGCAATTAGCCCTGAAAAGATAACTGGAGATGCTGTTGAGATAACAGAGCAGGTATCTTCTGTAATTGATAATTACTAGGTGTAAAGACATGTACACTTGCCTTGAAAAGCATAATTGTTTCTCATCTGAAGAGATTGCTTTATTTTAATGGTCTGCAATTATTTTTATTTTAGACAGACTGGTGCCAACATCTGTAGCCTCAAACCAGCCCATTTCTACAGGAAATTGCTGCAATTTGCCACTTTCCCCCTGCTCCTCCTTACCTATGAGAGGTTCTCTTTGTTGTTGTTGTTGGAGGGGACAGAACTGGGGCTGCTTTTTAAACCTAAAGGAAATCATACACCAAAAGCGCATTTGTGGGCACTTTTTTTCTTGATCCAGTTCTGTGTAAGCTCCAGGTATACCCAGGATATTTGTAAATGAGGCTATTTGCTGCTCCCCTCATTTGCTGAATGCTCGCTGAGAGCCAGGAGCATGAGAGGGAGCAGGGCAAGGCACCTGAGGAAGAGGGGAAAAGGCAGAAGCATGCCCAGGGCCTGGTACAGCCCCACACAAGAGCAGCACCGGGCTGTGTGCTGTGGAGTGGGGCAGGGGCACAGCCACCCCTCAAGCCTGCAGCAGGAGTCAGGCCCCGGAGATGCCGGCTGCCCAAATGCATCCCTGAGGTCTGCCTTAAAACCTCACCCACCTCCTATAGCTGAGGGTGAGAGACAAACACTCCCGTCGGAAGGAGACTGCAGAGCATCCTGTGTCCAGGCGAAGAATCTCCATATGCTTTGAGGCAGGAAAATTTCCTTTCAGTGACCTCTTGAATGACTCCTGCTTCTTCTGCACACCAGCAGCTCACCCTGGGATGCCAATGAAGCAGGAACGTCTTTTGTCCCTTCACCTCACCTGGACGCCCGGCCAGGAAGGAGCACAGCACCGCTCACCCGGACAGCCATGAAGTGCAGCGGCATGTTCACCCACGCGGCACAGACTGAACAATTATTTCATCAGTGCTGAATGGGCTGACTTCTGTTATCTCTGCTTTGCACTGTGACTGCCAGAGACACCGGGTCTCTGTGCAATTGCCACTTTGGCTGATAGCATGCTGATATTATGGCCATGAACAATCAATGAGCATCGATTGTGTCATTAGTGCACAGCCTGATCAGAAAGCAGGCAGGACCTGCGAAGTCTCTGCATTTCCTATAGCAAAGAGCTTATCTCTTCCGTGAGGACAGATCACAGGCAGTCGCACCGGGGGTTGAACCTTTGTCTTTGCTTTTGGGTCTGTAGAGCCACATTGTGAGCAGCAGCAGGAGTAGGAGCAAGGAAGGTTTTAGATCAGCCTCTGACTGCTGGCTCTCCACGCTCTGCCCAGTGCCCCGCTCCACCGGCTTGTGCCCTTCACCACTGAGCCCTGCAGGGCCAGGAGCCCTGGCTGCCAGCAGGAGGGGGACAGCCCTGCACCAGCCCTTGGACAACTCCCTGGAGAGCAGCTGAAATACCATTAACCAGGAAAACAGCAGTTTGCCTAAAGTGGACATGCTTCATCAATGCTAGGAGGAGCCAGTTATAATTTCATAACCTTTCATGCTGTCTGATGACAGCACATACATCTTTGTTCATTACAGCAGATACATCAGGCACTGCATGCCCGGCGTGCTGCCCTCAGAGAGGGGGTGAGAACAGGGCAAAGGGGCTGAAACTTGCGGCCAATTACTGCCAACACACCTGAGCACCGGGAGCTGCTGGACCGTGCTGCTGGCTGTGGGCACTACGCTGCGTGCCAGCCCCTGCCGCAGGAGGGGGATCACGGGGTCGGGGCTGCCCCGTCCCCCAGCCCAGGATGAGGCAGGCAGAGGTGCTCCCCTTCGCCCGGGAGCTGCCTGCATGGCTGAAACAAACACCTTGAAAGCAGGGAAGAGGAGGGCATCTGCGGCTGCAGGCTCACGTGCCGCGCACGTTGCAGGAGCCTGTGGGGCTCCCAGAAATGCCAGCGCACAGACAGGTTTTGCCAGAGGTGCCATCGTGTGCAGAACTGCCCCGTCTGTTTGCAATGCACAGCAGTCAGGTTTGATTTAAATATTTGCTCTGCTTATGCCAAATAGTTGTTCAAAATCTTTGGGGACATTAATATTTATGCATGAGTTTTGAATAAATCTGTTATGATCGAAAGGTCTCGCATAATTGTGGTTCATCGCTGCTGTCCAGGACCCGTCAGAGCCCACACGAAGTGGCAGGATGGAGCGGTGCCACAGCTAGCCTGAGCACTGACCTTTGCAAAAGCGCATGCAGGGCTGTCCTGCTGTCCTCCTGTCCTGCTGTCCTCCTGCATCCGTAAGCGCAGCCAGCTGCTCTGTCACTGCACCAGGGCCCCAGGCTCTCCACGTCAGCAGCCTGCCCGCAGCACTGCCAGTCTGTCTGCCCCCTGTCCCTGTCCCTGTCCCTACCCCGTGGGGTGGCACAGCACTCGCAAACAGCAGCAGAAGCCCTCAGGCTGGCCAGGCCCAGTGTTTTATGGTTTCTGCTCTACGCCCTTCACACGGCAGATGCGAGCCCGTCCCCCAGCCCCTCTCCAGGCAGCTGATGCCACGTGCCAGGCGCTGACAGAGCCAGCCTGCACATCCAGCCCCCCGTCACCCTGTCCCACCGCCCCCTCCTCTGCACAGGAATCCTGCGGCTCTGGGGCTCCAGCACCCCTGGCCAGGGCGAAGCTCGGGGGCTGCGGAGGGTCCGCAGTGGGATGCAGGGGGTTCCTCCAACCCATCGCTGCACTGGAGCCCTCCTCTCCCTGCCGGTACCTTGGAGCCACGCTCTTTAGCCCAGGGTAGGCTGTGATTAAAGAATGATTCATGTTTCACACGGAGGGTCCTTCCAGCAATCCATCTCCTGAATTAGTTTCTCCTGCGCAGAGGTAAGTAAATCAGGGCAGCTGGCGGCGGGCCCGGCCGGACAGTGTCACCCAGGGGCCTCCCCCGCGGGTGATGAAGGGCTGTAATCACCGCTGCGGGGGGGCCGCCTCCGCCTGGCAGGGATTTATCACCCCCGTGCTGCTGACACAAACACAGTTCGGGGAAGTAGTGGCAGTGTAATTATTCTGCAAATATAATTAGGTACAGATGTACTGAATAAGTAATACTAAAATATATTTATTTCCCACTATTCTCCTGACTCCTGCAGCCCATTAAAATGCGTTATTATGATAATTTGTCAGGAAAATGACAACATTTATTAATGCATTAAAGTTAATTCCTAGTAAATTAGTAATTGGCTAAACAATGCCACTCAGATTACTGCGCTGGGGCTTTTAGCAAAAGAGAGAAATGCAAGAGGAAAACAAATTGTTTTCCGTGGTTTCTCCCTCTCTCCTCCACGGCGGCTGCAGCTCAGGGTGGCCGGGTGGGAAAGCGCAGCCGGCGAGGCTCTCCGAGCGCCGGGGCTGCCTGGCCCCTGCAGGGAGCTGAGCTGCCACTGCCGGGCACATGCCAGGGGCTCGGGGATGGTGCCTTGGCGGGACGGGAGCCCCAGCACCCAGGCCGGGGACATGGTGGGAGCAAGAACGCACTGGGGCGGCTGGGGAGGCTGTTTCCGAGCCTTCAGGGATGTGTTTTAAAACTTCCTCTGAGTGTGTAACAGCAGGAGGCTCTGGGGAAGCTGAAGCCGGAGCTGACTGCAGCCTCGCAGGCAGCTGCCCTCACTTCTTGGGACTGGCTGTTGATGGGGATGTGTCCGACCTTCCCATTTCTCCATTAGACACTGGTGACGAGCCCATCGCTTTTTTTCCCCCTTTACACAGCTGCACAGGGAGAAGGAGAAAAGCTGGCACCGCTTGCTCGGCCCTGGCACCGCTCCTCTGTCAGCGAGCTGCCAGCACTGGGGATGCTGGGGGGCACGGGGAGGGGGGCCCAGCTGGGCAGGCGGGAGGATGGCCAGGCAGACACGAGGTCTCTTCGGCCGACAGGCCGGTAGTGCAGGAGCTGCCAGCGGAGAGTGACAGGGCTGGCGGCCAGGATGGGGCCTGGGGAGGTGCAGAAGTGGCCTGGTCACAGCCTGACAGTGCTCCCCGCGGGCTTCCCCATCCCACAGAGGCATGGCAGCATCCCGGGATCTGGACTTGAGCAGGGGGACGACACCTCTCGCCTCGGCAGTGACGGAGCGTGGGATGGCTCCTGCCACTGCTGCGCGGAGCCAGCCGAGCCGAGCCCTCGGCCGAGTCCCTGGCAAGGCCCTGGGTGCCAGGGCTGCGCCCCGGCAGGCAGCCCCTCTAGCCGAGGCGGGCAGGCGAAGGCAGCGTGCTGCTCCCATGCAGAGGGGCACGGCTCTGCGGCAGCGCGGGGTGCGCGCTGCCCGGCTCCCTGCCGGGGCTCCCTGGGGAGCGGCGAGGCACAGCGGGCTGAGTCCTGCCCCAGCCCCTCGCCCCTGCGGCCACTGCAGCCACTTCATCACCTCACCTCCCCGTTTGGGGTTAGCTGGGATCAGGCATGGCAGGGATCCCGCTGAAAGAGCCATGGCTGCAAAGTGCTTCCTGATTCCCGAGCCCATTATGGAAAGGCCCAAACCTAGCAGACTGCTGATGTATGTGCTTAAAGACCCAAAATGTTGAAACCCCCCAAATTACGTAATTTTTCATGTGCACAACTGGAAATATTTATTGCAAAAGATAAATGCAAACACACATTTGCACCATTGCTCCCGGCTGTCTGGGCCCTTTACACTGACTGCAAATGTAATCTTAGCAGGGTTGTTGGATTTAAATGTTGATGTCATTTCTGTTTGAATGCAAAGAGCTTCAGCTATTTGTTAAGTCCAGCTCCTCCAACCCCGGCTTTCCATCTTGTTTATTATACAGAAAATAACAGAGTGATGTATGAGTCATCTTCCCCGGCACTGGGAAGAGAATTTCAATTACGCTCTTTCTTAAAACATTCATACAAAGTAAACTCACATTCTTAGAAACATTTGTGAAATGCAGCCAGGAGAAGACCTGGCGAGAGAGGAGCTTGCTGAGGATTCCTCTCAGTGGCACCTCGGCTTGCAGCTGCAGTTAATGAGCCTTTGAAAACAAAATGCGTTGTCTACATTTTGCTTTTCGTGCAACTGAAACAGTTGTTTGCAACACCAAAGCAAACATTAAAGCCCTGTGTTAAGCACAGTTACATCCACCCACAGCGGTCCTGGAGCAAGACATCTGTGTGAATGCTACCAAGCCTTTCCGCTGCTTGCTCACGCACAGATGCGCTTTCCCTCCCTCCCGGCTGGCACAGGCAGGGAAACGCAGGCAGGCAGGCAGGCAGCAGGCCAGCCCTGCCACGGTCCCCGCCGGGCACTGCCCTCCCGCTCCCTGGCTGGGCCCAGGGGACAGGGCACTCGCAGGAGTTTTTCCTGATTTTGCCTCTTTTGCATCATCTTCCGAGTAACGCTTTTACGGTCAGAACATTGCCAGGCGCTTGAGTTTTTCAGAGCTGAGGTCACAGGCACCCTCCCGCCGCCGCAAGTACGGCACAGATTGCCACCCAGCCTCTTGGCAGGTCCCCTTCACACCCCCCGAAGGCATCCTCACCTGGCAGGGTCCCGTGGTGGCACGCTGCACCTCGTCCCCATCTCACTTTATCCAGGAATGAGATTTCAGCCACTTCACATTTTCTAGAAATCATGCAAAATAATAATAATAACCCCCAAATGCTCCCTTGGGTTCATTTTAAGACAAGATCTGCCAGAGCTGCCCCTATTTTCCAGGCTAATTTTGCCCACTCTGGGTTTTGTCCCTTTCAGCCCCGTTGCAGCTGCAGACGCATTGGGGGACACCCTGCAGCCGTGAGCAGCAGGTGGGGTGGGACAGCCTGGTCCCTGGGGGGTGGCTCCCCAGAGCACGCTGCTTGCTGCAGTGGGGCGGCTGGAGGAGCACGCCTGCCTCTGCGGGCAGGCTCGTGCAGGCAGGAGAGCGTGCGCCTGGCAGCCTCTCTCCTTGCTC